ACTGTTAGGATTTTTAAAAACTTAGGCCTTTGTTGTTATGGTGACTGGGGGGGGTCAGAGTATGAAATGGTAGTGAGAAACCTATTTCTCCTACCCTTCTGTGCTATTTGAATTTTTTTGTTTGTTTTGTGTATGTATTACTTAAAAAGAAAAAAATCCTTCATGATATGAGGAAAATAAATTATGATATATTTAACATGTTTTAGTTCAGTGTGAACTTTTTTTGGCTACTAGTCTTATCTATGTATGCTGTCTCCTAATGTTTAAATCTTTTGGCTTTTGATTTTATCAGACTTTTCCTTTTTATATGTCTTAATTTTTTATATTGACATTTGTAATACTAAAACTTGTTTATATGTAGTTTTCTTTAGTGTGCTTTAAATACGATGAAAAAACCCCCTGAAAGTTCTAAGCTTTTGAGTAAACACAGTTTGCTTATTGCATGTATTCCTTAGGATAAGAATATTTTGACATTTTGACTTCTGTGTCTTAACTTTTTTTTCAGTTTTAGTATGTTTATTTTTAGGTTCCAGACATCATTGAATTTGGAGAATTCAAATGAGATCACTTCTTTTTTTTTCCCCCTTTAAAAAAAATCAACATACTAAGGATCTTTCCTGATTTTTATTTCTGTTTTTTCCTAGTTGGATGAAAAATCTGACAAACAGTATGCTGAAAATTATACAAGAGTGAGTATATAAATTCCTATGGGAATTAAACTTATTTTCAATTAAACTTACTTTCTATGACTTGTTCATTCTTTATTTTACTGTAATTTGTCTGATGGAGTTACTCTTCCTCCCTTCATCTATTTCCTGTCCTTGACCCCTCAGAATTCCTCTGAAGTTAAATCATGTGAAGCCCTGGGAAGAGAAAAGACTGCATTTATGATATGTCACTTAGTTTTTGGCTGCTCTTTTGATTTTAATTTCTCTAGAAATTGATTCTAAGAAGCCATTAAACACTGGAAATAGTGTCTGTAGAATTGATGGTAACAAACTCTGAAGCCTTTTTCTTCTTTTATTAGATAAATTCTTTCTTGAAGTAAAATAACTACTCTCTAGAAATTGCTTTTGTGATACTTTGTAATTTTCTTCTAAAAGTATTTTTAGAAAGTCAAGGAAATAATTTCTCGAGATTAATATTATGTTGTACCCCCTAAAAAATCAGCTCTGTCAAATAGGAATATAGTGCAAGGCACCATTATAAGCATATGCAAGAATAAATTTTCTGGTAGTCATATTTAAAAAGTAAAAAGAAACAAAAGTGATATTTAACCCAAATATCCAAACTATTTTAACATATAATCAGAATGAAATATTAATGAGATATAGTTTTATTTTTTTGCCTATACTAAGCCTTCCGATTATGCATTTTATACTTAAGTCTCAATTTGTACTAACCACATTTCAAGTACTTAATACAGACATATGACTAACGGTTAAAATTGGACAGCGCATAATCTTATGTTTAAACTGATTTTGGGAAGAGCAGCCCAAATTCATAGTGATACACACAATGTAGTTGGTTTCGGCTGCAAAAAAATCTCCATTATTTTTGAACAAAGTATTAGGAAAAAGTAGATTCTTAAGGAGTTTTAGGAATTAAGTAGGGAAGTGCAGATTACCATACCAGTTACACAGTTCTATAACTGCTTTAAATTAATCTGATGTGCATGCCCAAGTATTATTTAATTTTAGCAAAGATGAAATTAGAAAATAAACAACTCCCATACAAACTTTTCTTCTTGGTTTTTTGGGGGCTTTTTTGGGGGGGGATACTGGAGATCAAACCTGGGACCTTGCGCTTGTGAGGCAGGCAGCAGAACCATTGAGCTAAATCCCCGGCCCTTTCTTGGTTATTTTAAATTCTAGATTCTGATAAAAATTTTATGCTTAGTCTGCCTAG